AAGCCCAACGCCCATCTGAAGCCAAACAAATTTGATAACCGGTGTATGAGTGCCCAACTGAAGGCTTGTGGACTTGCCGAAGCTGCCAGCATTCGAAAAGAAGGCTACCCAGTAAGAATGACTTTCACAGCATTTGCAAACAGGTATGTGAAGAAAACTAATAAATATCATTACTTTATTGATTTTTCTCAGTCTGGAAGAGAACAAAAGATTTCTTTTTGATTTCTTCTTCCAATGCACAGATATTCCAGATATTAGACTCTTAAAATTGACGTAATCTTATCAACTTTGTCTCTAATTATTAATTAAATTTACTTACTGCTAAAATGAAATACTGTATTCATTTGGATGTTGGATAAAAGAACTCATAGTATAACATATCCTTAATTATTTCCTGTTGTAGAACCAGGGGTATTTATATTGATGTCGTATGTTGAAGTTGTAAGTGGAAATTCTGTTCTTGAGCCAGGATGTCAGAAGTCATCCCAGACATGAGAATTTTTCACAGAATCCACGCAGTGTAAATGACGGCAGTTTTCTGAGGATCAATAATCTCGGTTTCAATTCCTATTTTCTCTCAACGCTCTTTCGAGTTACTTGGGGTTCCAAGCGCATCCATTCCTACAGGAATTACTTCAACAGTCATGTTCAAAAGCTTTTTCAACGCCCTGGACAGATTACGATATTTTTCAATCTTTCAATTTATTCGGAGAACATTCATCTATTCGTCGGCATGGGGACCCACTATCATCCGAGCATCGGGATCGTTATCCTTTCTCCTTATTCCATTTTTCTCCACATGGTCGCCGTAATGAGATGGCTGTAAAGGTCCAACCTACTCCTGATGGATCGTAGGCAGGAGTCACACTCCTCTATTATATACAACAGAAAGTCAAGAATTTGACACTTGCTATTCACCTTATAGAATAATGGACACTGAGGAATCAGAGAGCAGAGGTCGAATTCCAGTCGAATTCATTACTTTCACTTACGTGCTAATATTCTTGGGAAAGGTATGTATCTATTTATCCTCCTCCCAGCTATACCAGGACAGACTGGGCTCTGCTTTCTTGGTTGGCGACTATTCTAGGTGGAGGAAAACTCTGAATTCAAACCAACCTGCAGAGGGTTGGACTTCGTCAGGTTATCTTGCTCAAGACACACCACTGCTACTTCTGCTTTACTTCATATGGTGCCCCAACAACCCTGATATGCGCACGGGACTCTTGATCTTTTGACCAATAACAATAACGTTGTGTTTTCCTACTTCAGTGATCTGTTGGAACCGAAAAATCCAATAATATCATTTCTATCATTGCCTCTGGTAATCGTAATTCATAACATTTCTGTTACACATTAGAGCCAAATTTACGGCATACTTCCCAATGGAAATATACCAATCTAATCATGTCGAAGTTAAGCAACGTCGAACCTTGTCAGTACCTAGATTGTAGACCGCTTGTAACTGTAAGATTGGATATGCGGGAGGTGTAGTAGATGATGGCTGGGAATTGTTAATTGGAGAGCTAAGTTCCAATTCCTTTTGGTTTCATTATATTCACATTCGTATATACCTTAGAAAAGTTTTGAATCTATATTTCCCCCTCTACCTATGGGTTAATTAGTAAGTCTTGCATTACTAAATCATTATTATCTTAAGAAATACTTATTACAATCTATAAATATTTTCTGGCTTTAAATAACCTGCTGAGGGTTTATAAGTTTTCCTTGTTTTGTTTAACGGTATATCAATTCCTTATGTGTCATTCAATGTGGAAATTTAATTTTCCTGGGGGTTTTGAAGTAATAAAAACATAATTCCTTCTGTTTTCACAACAGAATACATGGTAGATGATACCCAGCTTTTGTGCATATACATATTTATGTATATGTAATTACTAGAACCAGTGCAGTATGGGTTTTATGTTGTAGTTTTGTTAAAGTTATATTTTGGAATACCATTTGATTTTAGAAATTGTAGGATATGATTAATATGAATATTTTGAAAGAATTTTTCATGTTGGTTGTTTGGCTGGTTATTATTGTTTCGTGGCATAGCAACACCTCTATGGGTTATTTAATGCCGAAATCTAAATATTTTTAACACAACTGTATGTCTTCAATAAAATGTATTGTTGGTCATTTTACTATAAATGCTTACTGCTGGTAATTTTTTGTTTAAAGAAAATCGTATTGCTGGTATTTTTACTATGAAAATATATTTTTCTAATTTCATAGTGTTTTGCTTTTGTTTAGATTTCAATATTTGCCCGTGGCTGTAACCCTAACAGGTGTTACCATCCCAAGCAAGGATGGACCTGGGAACAACAGCAATTAAGAGGTGGCTCCAATCTCCTTAAAACCTCCTGTCTCCCTTGCTACCGAATGTAGTTTAGCGTCATATTATGTTTGATAATCTGTAGAAAATGAATCAATCAAGCAGTCATGTCGCTTATAGTCTTTTATACTATTTTAGTCTTTTAGTCTTTTATACTTTTTGTCTTTTTGTCCCAAGTCAGACCAGACTTGGGACATTCTGCGAGTATTTGATGAACTGATTCATCAATTTGACCTTCACATCCTGCATTTGTTTTCTGATTTAATTTGTCTATCATTGCATTCTAATGCAATCCTGATCTATTTCGATATATCATTGCATCCTATTGCAATTCTAATATATTGCAATATATCACTGCATTCTAATGCAATTCTAATATATTGGAATATATCATTGTATTCTATTGCAATTCTAATATATTGACATATATCATTGCATTCTAATACAATCCTGATCTATTTCAATATATCATTGCATCCTATTGCAATTCTAATACATTGCAATATATCATTGCATTCTGTTGCAAAAGCTTTTATGCTAAAATCCAGAACACATCACTAATGACTCACCAGCTCATTTTCATTTTCTTTCTTTTGTTTTTATATATATATATATATATATATATATATATATACATTGAATTTTTCGTTTCATGTACACGTGGCGAAATTGTTGTAAGATATTTTCCAGTTATAAGTAAACTTTCTCGTTATAAATGTACTTTTAATATCTATATATTTCTTCGTTATATTCCAGATATGAAAATATATCCGAACCAAACTTTAACTTTACAGATAGCCACGAAAAATGCGTGCATATTATCAATGTTTCAGGGATCCATAAATACCATATCGGTAAAACAAAGGTAAGCATTGTAACCTTATTCGAGGTATAAAAATTAGAATACACTTTCGCGGAATACGATATTTACTAGTATCCTGCTTTTTGCAGACTCGTGACAGACTCAGTTATGTGCCATGCGTGATACACGCTTAGTCGATCATGTATCTTTCGATACAAACTGACGAGGCAATTTTTTTCGCGCAGTATTTTTCCATTTCTTTCTGCGGTAGACCAGTTGCCATCCAAGAACCCGTTCTGTCCTACTTGTGATTCATACCCTTCCTGAAGGTATTAGCACGTAAGCAAATTCGAAATCTGCTCTCCGATTCCTCAGTCCGAGCCGCTATCCATTACTCCACCGTGTCCCCTCGTGGCAAACTAAGTTAAGCTTAATAATAGCTAAAACAAGATATTGGTAATGGTAATTGTAAGATCTATTTGTATTAAATAAATTACCTGTTACCATACAGGAAGCGTTGGCAATGACTGACCGAACAATTAGCGTTAAGATTTTTAAAAAATTTAAATTTAAATTTAAAAAAAAAAATTATGTTCCTTAAGACCATTAACTGGTATTGATGAGAGTTTTCTTCCAAACCTTTTTGTATCTCTGAAAATAAGCATATTCATGACATCATTATGTTAACCTTTTTACATGCGTGGTGTAGTGTAATGGATACTGGCTTGGGATGAGAAATCGGTATGCTGGATTCCAATCGTGTTTATTACAATCTCATCCGCTCAAATATCCTTGGGAAAGGTATGAATCCATCTCTACTCCACGCCAAGCTATGGGTTGAATAACAGGATAGACTGGGCTTGACTGGCAAGCAGTCTAAGGCAGAAAGAAACTATAAACTACTACAGGAAAACATTCTGCATAGTCAGTCAAAAATCGAAAGTGACATGATCACCTAATCATATAACACGTATAGCACTTAACTTACTGAGTTACATGTACTATCCATTTTAGCTGTTGCTGCTGTTGGAACTATTCAACTTAGTGCGGATTTGGTTATTTGGTAAAGCCCTTTATTTGTGATGTTGTAACCACAGTTTATATTGTCTTCTTTAAGACCTAACGGATACATTCACATGAAGCCATTTTTAATTACTGATCTGGGAAAACGGTTGTACAGTGTAACCCGGATATAAGAGAGTTGTCGGGACCGGAGAAGAAGTCTGTTATATCCGGGTTTCTCTTATATCCGTGTTTGGTCTATTTTATATACATTAACGCAGGCTCTAATTTGGGACCAGAGAAAATCTCTCTTATATCCGGGTCTCTTATATCCGGGTCTCTTATATCCAGGTCTCTTATATCCGGGTTACACTGTACATAAATTATAATTTATTTAATACAAATAATTTTTATCAGTGAAGATGTTTTTAATTATTCTTCTTAATGATTTCACACCAAGCAAGGTGATAAAATTACTAAGATACAAGGGATTCAGTCCTTGTCCAAAGTATAAAATAACAAGTCTGACATAGCATGAGATACACTTATACACACATTATATTCATAGTAGTAATTCTAGATTGAATGGATAAAATAAATACGAAAGACTTACAATTCTCTTCGAATTGGTATAGTTACAAACACTAAAGATTAAATAGCTTAAGTTTCGATTGCTTTCTAAGATCATTGATTAAAATAGCTTCAAGCGAATGAAGACTCTTATTTATCTTTTCCCATCTTAATTCTGATTTATTTAAGGTTCTCTCTTCTTTATAATGTTTTTCTTTGTCTCAAATTCTTTCACACCAAGTAATACCTTGCGTCTTAGTGACTTTAATACCTTGCTTACAGTGAAATGAATAAGAAAAACGCAATTTAAGCATAAATTTTAGATATTTTGTTAGCTTTTGGAATGTTTATTTCGCTAATTAAATACGTGTTCGGATTTCGGTGCCACATTTTTCATCCTCTCTTAAAACACTTCCCAGTTGTTTAAACTTCTATATTTGATTGATGCTGATATCTCCAATTTGTAACACACGTCTAAGTCTTTTCCTCTTGATGAAAAAGCAATTCAAATAATTTACTCCATAACTATTTCTAATACGTTTTTTCTGTGTCAATTTTAGGTCCTGTTGAACTACAAAGAAAAGGAAGTATTAGAACGCTTAAAGAAACAACGTGTAAGTTACTATTTTCTCATACTATTATTGATGTTTATTATCGATTTTTTTCCTCTGACTAAATTATTCTTAAATTAATTAAAATATTTTTTAACTTGGCGTTAGTGACTAATGACCATTAAAATATTCTACCTCTAAATACATCGGGAAATAAGAATAAAATGAATTAAATTTCTCCTGATATGTTTCTTATCGCTATGAAAACTTTTTACTTTCTTCTTCTGGAGCAGCCCATGTTCATGGATGTTTTATCATTTAAAATTATTTTAATTAGTTTTAGCTAATGCTTATTCATTTCATTATTCATATATATATATATATATATATATATATATATATATATATATATATATATATATATATATATATATATATATATATATATATATATATATATATATATATATATATATATATATATATATATATATATATATTTATATTTTTATTTTTTTTTTTCAGGAAAAGATCATAAGTATTCCTCCGTCTGGCAGATCATCTTTTTCTAGCAATTGTCGAATTCAGGATTTAGGCAGAAATTCAAATAGAATCTCTAAAGCAAATACTCATAGGAGTATGATTAATTTGGAGGTGCCTCAGTCAGTATTCCTACCTGAAAAAGAAGAAATATCCGAAAATAAGGAGTCACCATTTGAAGAGATGGATGAATCAAAAATACCGTAAGTTAAAATTTCTTTCGACAATTTTTAACAAAAAACAAACTGGACACTCACACGGTAAATATTGTTTTTAAAACTTATTTTTAGAATTTTAATAAAACCAAAAATTCTGAAAATGTATTTATACATTAGCTTTTTAAAGAGATCTGACAACAAAAATGTATTTATTTATTTATTTATTTAGTTATTTATTATTATTATTATTATTATTATTATTATGTATTTATTATATTATTTATTTACAATATACAGACCTGGAGATAGAAATAAATATACTGTTTAATAAATAAATAAAAACAGAGCATATTCTCAAATATGATTAACCATTAAAAGCATTTGTTTTACACTGCCGCCAGCGGGCTTTAGCATGTATCCTTTGGTATACAATAAAACACACAATCAATAAATTTTGAAAAGGAAAGCTTCAGTAATTAAAAAAGTGCTAAAAATCGTCTTCATTTCTGAGCTGATGATTAGTTATTTTAAATCTAATACAGACCACTTTTACAAGAAATATTTTTACTGCATTTTTTTTTTATTTGCAGCTAATTCAATTTTGACATTTTTTTATTCTACAATATTTGCCCGAATAAATGAAACCGGTTTTAAAAAAAAAAACACTTTCTTTATACTAAATGTAACTTGATTCAAAAAATTAACGCAGTCTGGATATCAGATATTTACAGGTTTTGATGATGGTGGGGCGTTCCATTTTTTTTTTCTTTCATAGACATTCAGTAAAAGAAATAAGTAAAGAAATGTCATTTAATCTCTGATTCGAAGTTCATTCCTTTAGTGTTATATACATTTTCTGTATCAACCCAGATTAACTATCAAAATATATTATAAACATCTGTCGTTTATCGATCAAATGTTTGCAGATACATGAAACTGGAATTTCTTTTACGTCATCTTTTGCTTAAACAAAAGCATACGGCGTTGTTTTTTTGTTTTGTTTTTTTAACTAAAATAGTAATGTTCGAGAATTTAAAAAAAGCCAGCACGAAACAATTGAGGGCAAAATACAATAGACAGTTAGTGTGTAAAAAATAATTTGGAAAAACCCTATCCTTTATAATTATATGTCAAAGAAGATGTCTCACCATCTGTGTAGTGTATTCAAGAATAAACAGAAATGATTTATCAAGCTGATATCAAGTTTTCAGCCTACGGCATTAAAACTATGTTGTGTATAATGCGACACCTGGTTCACTAAGGACTACTAAATCATCCAAAAGCGAAACATGACGTTTTGTCTCTATGGCCTCCAGGCGGTAAATAAAATATAGAAATTATATATCGAAAATATATGGGAAGCGTGATTTTCTGCTATTTTCTGTTATACTGTTTTTTTTTGGGGGGGGGTTTGCAACATCGTCTAGGGGTCGGTATGAAGTTTTCATTCGTAGACAAGTGGGTGAATCTCAAGTGGTTATTTAATACTGAAAATGCACCACCCACCCAAAAAAAAAAGCAGTAATTTATATTGTACCAAGTATAAGCTTTTCAATTTGGCTAGACAAGTTCTTTTAATTTCCCACGGACGCCATTGGCTGTATTCAAGCCTATCAAAATCTATAAATCTCATACGTACTAACTTTTCATGCAAGATTCAATTAACTTAATCTTTTAACCTATATTTGACCCTCTTATTGATAAATAAGATAAATAACAACAACTTATTTTAAACGATCACAAGGATTTATAAAGATGATTTTAGCTATGTGATGTTGCCAAAAGAAATACAGACACAGTGGAATATTATTTCATTTTATATCTGAAGACGCGTATATTATAAGGGTTATATATAAATAATAGGGCGTGTAGATGTCAATTCCCTTTCGATTTTATTTTGTTCATTTCTTAGTAATACTATTGGAAAAGGCATGGATCTACATTATTCCAACTAGCTGTTAAATAGCAAGGAAGACTGGATTCTTCTATCTTGATGTGGAGATTGAAAACAAAACAGAAAAATCTTAATTTAAACCCAGACTGAAAAGTCTTTTTCAGGCTTATGGCAAAACACACCACTGCTCCTACGGCTGTTTTTAGGATGCCATTATGACCCTAAAGGGTCGCGAGGCGCACGATATGATATACGGAACAATGAACGCGGGAAAAAGAAAAATGACTGAAATCTAGACAATATCCTATTGATGGCTTTCGGGGTATCACTAGATCCAACTTGATATTAATCAAAAAATTAATTTGATTTGATCTAGTTTATATAAGAAATAAATGAGCTGGTATTGTACTTACGCGGCAAATAGATATTTCTTTAATCGTCTGATAAAGTTGATTTCTTTTTCAGGGCCTACGACGCTTTCCGTGAAACAGAGAGAGATATCGACGAGGACAACGACTTCTTCACAAAATTGCTGAAAGTTTTCCGTTTCCTGTTTTATATATTCACAATTTGTGGGATATTAATATCTGCCGTATCAAACCGCATGGGTTTACTTTTACTTGCTGGATCCGATAAACCAACAGAGGTATTTCTTTTTTCTTTCAAGTTTTATGTTAAAAATAAAACGATTGAGATAAATAAAAAAACGACTGAAATCCTTCATTGTATTATTCAGTTATCGCATTTCTCTTGGTGTTGTCGTTCATGGTGACATTCAAGTCCAAATGGGGCAATGGCTTGCCCGTTCCTTTTGTACCGGGGATGCTGAAGTTACCCTATCTCTCCTCTCAGATATCCCTCTACCCACTGGTAAAGCCATTGACCTCTAATGCGCAGCTCTTACGCCTAGGCTGGCAAATGGCAGATACCGATGGCTGCTTCACACAGGTGGGCTGAGAAGAGACATTCCCCTTCGCCGGTCGGTTCGAGAAAACCTTCCGGTTGACCTCACACAGTTTAGCCAGGAGGTCGATACCGTTGACCGCAGTGTAGCAGTCGCAGTGCCCATGCTACTTCTTGGAGTCATATATGGGAGGTGGTTGTCGGCTACGAACCAGAACAGTTCCGCATCTCAATTCACATGAATAAAGAAGGGTCGACCTTTTTTCTTTTTTTCCTTTTGTCTTTATTCATATTGTTCTTTTACAGATATACTTTATCTGATTTTTTTTACACACACACACATATATATATAGTGTGATGGGTAATTTGTCGCAATTTTATATTATTACTTTTGTTGTTTTTGATTTTGTGAACTGTACAGTATAGTAGAGTCAGTTGCGTATTATATGTGAGAAAAAGATCACCGTGATGCAATTCACTTCACCATAAATTTGGAAACAGCATGCTGTAATGCTTGCAATTGGCGCCAGTAGCTCCAGTACGAACATATCAGAGTGTTTGATGTCAGCGCAGAGGATTCGGAATGATTTGAATGAGTCTATTACGTTTTATTGTGATTACGGAAGTGTTTGGAGTGAGATGACAATATATATTTTTATATATCAAGAATAGTGTTGAGGGAATTGTATGATAAAATGGAAAAAGGTTTATTTGTGACGCATTTTATCCGTTAGGACTCCATTGGAGTGTGTTTATGGGTGTTGTTGTTAATTACACAGGCGTATAAACGAGAGACGCTGGTAGTTTCAAAAAGTTTTTTAAATAATCTTTTTGCAATCTAGCCAAATTTATCTATATTCTTTTTCATTCCGCCATCTTTGCGTTTAAATATCCCATATTGTGATAACAGAAAATATGCCAGGAATGGCGAAACGTTGTAAGAACCTCGACGTAAATTTACTGTAGCTGAAATAATGATTAAAGGACCTTATAAATATTTTCGTCTTAATGAATTATTTTCTTATTAATTAGAGTAGTATTTTTATGTCAAGATTGTGATCACTTTCGTTACATTTTTTGCTGTTTCTTTTTTGTTTTTGTTTTTTAATGTGTCTTTTGTGTTTAATATAGTGTTTTGTTTAAATTTCTTGAGGTTTCTCCAATATATTCCTTCTGGCAATCTTTGCTGTTGAGTAAATTCCTCCTTCAAGTTTTGTCTTGTTGTTTTGTTTTGTATTGATTAAGTCATTTTATTGTTTTAGATATAGTTGTGACAAATTTTCTGTTGAGATAAATTATTTTTGGTTGTAGTTGTGATAGATTTAGTAGGTAGAATAATATATATATATATATATATATATATATATATATATATATATATATATATATATATATATATATGTTGCGTTTGTCGGGAAAGACATCTTTTCTATTTTGAATATTTTATGGGCCATTGTTTCGCATTGAGTATGAAATAGGATATTGAAAGTTCTTAAAAGTATTTTCAATATATTTCTCCTGTAAATATTGAGGACTGCAAATTGTTGATTTTCGACGTTTTAGGCTGCTATCAATTCAGTTCGTCCTGGGTCTGACGTTAAACTGAATCCAACAGCAAGTTCTCTGATAAGAAGATTTTGAGGAGCGTGGAACCATCTCTTAATTGATGATGTTCCCAGGTCCACCTTGACCCGGGGTGGTAGCACCTGTTAGGGTTCAAGCTATGGGCAAATAGTGAACTCCTAGTTTTTCCGGATTTTGCCCACGTCCTGGGTATGACAATAAACTGTATCCGCGTCCTGGGTATGGCGATAAACTACATCCACGTCCTGGGTATGGTGATAAACTACATCCGCGTCCTGGGTATGACGATAAACTACATCTGTGTCCTGGGTATGGTGATAAACTACATCCGCGTCCTGGGTATGGCGATAAGCTACATCCGCATCCTGGGTATGGTGATAAACTACGTCCGATGTTCTGGGCCTGGTGATAATGTTTTTGGACAAAGTAAGGCCTCAGATAATGTTTTTGGGAAAGTAATGTTATTTGATATATATATTTATATATATATATATATATATATATATATATATATATATATATATATATATATAACTTAATTTGGCATTAAATGACCTACAGTGGTTGATATGCTATAAAACCCAACCAACCAACCAATCAATTCAGTGTAACATAATGTCTTCCATTTCGTATGTAAATTCTATCTTTGTTTAGTTTATATACAAGATCCGATAGTTCAGTATCACGGGGATATATTAATAGAGCATCATCAATATATCGGAAGTAAGTTGATTGTTTAAATAAAATATTTTGGAAATAATCAAATTCGAGACTTTCTAAGAAAGTTACATGTCGTCATTCCACTAAGAGGCAATCACATTGATTGGTAATGAGACAGCAGATTTTATTATTTTATATTTTTATTTTATTTATTGGTAGAGAGAGATCTATCTTTGATTCTGTTAGAAGATTCTTTACGACATTCAAGCATTTTTCAACTGGAATTTTAGTGTAAATTGTTTTATATCTAGACTGGCCATAAGTTTGTCAGTCATATTTGTTTATCTTAGTCACCTAATTTTTTTTAATTTTTTATATGTGATGGACTTATTGTCCCAAGGTTAAAATTTGTGCTGTAGCCCTTGCTTGTTTGTGTGGGGCCCTGCCCATTTCTGAAATGATGGAGGCGCATAAGGATAACTGTTTTGTGTGAAGATCGTAAAGTTTGGGTGTTCCAGGGAGATATTTTATTAGACTATACCACGATTTGAAGTGTTTTAGTCTCTACTGCATTTAAATTCTAGCAAGATTTCTTTTCCCTTATTTTGTTACTAAAATTCTCCACTGGCTTTACGGCCACTACAACATGAATTCATTTAAATTATTTTCGGTACTAAAAATGAGAAATATTGCTGGAGATAGAGAAAAAAACTTAATAGTTAAGCATCACATGAAATATTGTAATTTATGGCCGAAAAAATGTTTTATTACGTTTCATCCCTCACGTCCTAATATACTGGAGATGAGGTCAAAGTGGAATGTCAGAGGTCACGAATTAAAGCAATCACAAGTTGTAGGATATGTGTAATTTTTTTTATATTCATTAATGTAGTGAAAATAATAAACTGTTCCAAATTGTTCACTTTTCGTTTATTTCTTTTTCACTGTTTCTTGCAGAAAGCTAAACTATTCATTTCACTTGGAATACCAATGGTATTTTCCTGGGGAAGCAATGCAATGAAATGTGCATTTCGGGGAAAAGTCAAACCTTCTTGGAAATCATACATATTTGTAAGTTACATACCACATTCCTACAAAAATCTTAGAAATCATGAATATTGTCTAAAAAAATTCGAAATCATATATATATATATATATATATATATATATATATATATATATATATATATATATATATATATATATATATATATATATATATATATATATATTTTTTTTTATTTTAGCGGTCACTGTGCATGTTTCTAAAAATAAATATGCTAAAAATCCACCTTCATTCCTACCGTGCGCCGACGGCTTAGTGGTTAGAAACGCTGACTGACACCAATTCAGTCGGGTTTCGATCCTAGCTAGAGGCAACCGGATGTCTAGCCACACTGATGAGCTGTAAACAGCGAAGCAGTCTGTCTGTGGATGACGTTATATATGTGTATATATATATAATTATTTATTTAAAAATATGATTCCAAATCGCTACATAAGAGGGCTCATGTTTCAAAACAAGAGCCGAAAACTTCAATATAATCCTTTAAATTAAATTGAGTTGAAATTAAAAAGGGCTCCGTTCCATCTTCAAGTGAAATTTTTGTTGGAATCTTATGTTGCGATTTGGAATCATATTTTTAAATAAATAATTATATTTATGCTCTACTTTTGTATCGAGCACTATTTTTTAAAAATAATAACTAAAATACTAAGGAACTTTGGACTATTTACCTAACCAGTTCCTTCCTATTTTCTATATATATATATATATATATATATATATATATATATATATATATATATATATATATATATCACCCTGCCTTTTTGGTTGGCGACTAGTCTAGGTTGAGGAAAACTCTGAATTCAAACTATTATTCAAATTATAATTAATATTATTATCATTATCATTATATATAATAATTATATATATTATAAAAGGCACGAATAGTTAAAATTTCATGAGGTTATATATATTTCGTTAGGGTCTTAAAAAAGTCCCCAAGTCAACTGATCGTCAAATGCAAAAGTTCGGATCTGAAGTTTGGATTTGAAGGTCTGATGAATTGGTGCCTTTTTAAGACCCTAACGAAATAAATATTACGTCATGAAATTATAAGTGCCTTTTATAATAATAATTATTGAGCTGTCTCTGACATAGAACTATCCTTGGATTTATATCCTTTTGGAAATATCCATATTGATCACTAATATTATCATTATATATATATAATCATATATATACACACACACATGCACACACACACCTACACACACACACACACACACACATATATATATATATATATATATAATTTATCTTCTCGCTTTGAAAGTTATTTTTATTGAATATCTTAGTAGACTATCAGTTTATTTTAATACGACTATCAACAAAAATAACGTTTCACGTAATAAAAATATGTTAATTTAAAATCGGAAAATCATTAATTCTTTAGAAATATTTATTACTTATTTCATCCATGCTGTAATATGTAAGTTATATATCACATTTCTGTAAAAGTCTATAAATTACATAGTATGCTTTTACAGAAACTTTTTCTAAAACCAGTTTTAAAAATATTTCAGTAGAAATTACATTATATATAAAGGAATTTTTCAACTTATCAGTTTTTAGAAGTTTGTCGAATTTTCTCAGTCAACAATAGCAGAGTTCAATTACTTTGTATACATATTTGAGAAAATCAAAATGTGTAGAAATAAATTAAATATCATAAAAATCGTGTAAATTCAAAGAAATATTTGCTTCGATTATAAGACTTTACTTGAAAAATGTGTAAAACAAATTGTATGCAGTTTTAATTTCGGTGATCAGATGAGATTTCAAGTTGGAACCAATTTCAAAAAGTGTAAATGAGGAACACTTGAAAATAAAAATAAAGAGATCGATTTTTTTCCGAAGTTAATTCATAAAGTGGAATAGATAGATAGTTTGTGATATATATATATATATATATATATATATATATATATATATATATATATATATACAGAGGAAGAGAGAGTGTGTTCTTCAAGTTAAAAATATTTACGGATGTATAGAACCAAATAGAAGTGGGACCAATTACTCTAGGTGTAATCAAGAAATCATTCAAAATTAAATAAATGCTACCAGTTTTGTACATCTAGTACAATTTTAGTTGTAAATCTAAACTGATTACTAACCAAGGCTAAAGATCCCATTACGTCCTTCTGTTTACGCTCTAGCTTGGTTGAGACGAAGAGATGAACTCATACATTTTTCATCCCACCACTCACACAAAAGTCAAACTAGATGTTTTACATCTCACGAAGGTCAACATATCCTGATATATAAGTTGTTGCAGCACAAGATTTTTTTATATGGCATGATTTTGGTAGATTTGAAAATCTCTATCTAGATTAAACAGGATACAGCAAAAAGCAAATGTTTTTCTCCTTTATTAACAATCGCTTATTGTAATTGGCGATATTATGCCTGTTGATAGAGAATGAATCGACTCCATGGGCGTAGCAAGGCGGCTCACAACTAGAAATTGCTGTTTTTACCAGATCCACCCTGAGGCGATGTGGGAGCACTTGTTAGGGTCCCAGCTATGTGCACATAGTAAACTCCCAAATAAATATCGCCAGTACATTTTCGTAATAAAATGACCAACAATACCTTTTATAGCAAAATGACAATCAATACTAAAAAAATATAAAAAATATAGTAAAATTACAAACATTACATTTCATGACCTAGAAAATATATATTTAAAAAACCGTACCCTTACTTTGAAAGTATCAAATGATGCATAAAAAATATGTAGTCAAAAGCTTAAAATTACATAAAAATATTTAGATTTCGGCATTAAATAAACGATAAACATTGACATGACGCTCAACAAAATCAACTAAACTGAAATGTAAATGTATTAGTGCAACTAAAGAATAGAGTTTATCTGTTCATTTCCCATTTAAATAGCGTTGTGCCTGTGGGAAAGGGGCGGTAA